GGTGACATGTAGCCTTAATGACCCTCGTGTAGTGACTGGTGGTGCACAGGTGACATGTAGCCTTAATGACCCTCGTGTAGTGACTGGTGGTGCACAGGCGACATGTAGCCTTATGACCCTCGTGTAGTGACTGTGGTGTACGGGTGACATGTAGCCTTAATGACCTCGTGTAGTGACTGATGGTGAAACAGGTGACATGTAGCCTTAATGACCCTCGTGTAGTGGCTGGTGGTGTACAGCGACATGTACCCTTTTAAGACCCTCGTGTAGTTGACTGGTGGTGCACAGGTGACATGTAGCCTTAATGACCCTCGTGTATGACTGGTGTGCACAGGCGACATGTAGCCTTAATGACCCTCGTGTAGTGACTGGTGTTGTACAGGTGACATGTAGCCTTAATGACCCTCGTGTAGTGACTGGTGTTGTACAGGTGACATGTAGCCTTAATGACCCTCGTGTAGTGACTGGTGGTGTACAGGTGACATGTAGCCTTAATGACCCTCGTGTATGACCTGGGGGTGTACAGGCGACATGTAGCCTTAATGACCCTCGTGTAGTGACTGGTGGTGTACAGGCGACATGTAGCCTTAATGACCCTCGTGTAGTGACTGGTGGTGCACAGGTGACATGTAGCCTTAATGACCCTCGTGTAGTGACTGGTGGTGCACAGGCGACATGTAGCCTTAATGACCCTCGTGTAGTGACTGGTGTACAGGTGACATGTAGCCTTAATGACCTCGTGTAGTAAATGGTGGTGTACAGGCACATGTAGCCTTAATGACCTCGTGTAGTGACTGGTGGTGTACAGGCGACATGTAGCCTTAATGACCCTCGTGTAGTGACTGGGGGTGCACAGGCGACATGTAGCCTTAATGACCCTCGTGAAAGTGACTGGGGGTGCACAGGCGAAAATGTAGCCTTAATGACCCTCGTGTAGTGGCTGGTGGTGTACAGGCGACATGTAGTCTTAATGACCCTCGTGTAGTGACTGGTGGTGCACAGGCGACATGTAGCCTTAATGACCCTCGTGTAGTGACTGGTGGTGTACAGGCGACATGTAGCCTTAATGACCCTCGTGTAGTGGCTGGTGGTGTAGAGGCGACTTTGTAGTTTTAATGACCCTCGTGTAGTGACGGTGTGCACAGGCGACATGTAGCCTAATGACCCTGTGTAGTGGACTGGTGGTGTAAAAGGGCGACATGTAGCCTTAATGACCCTCGTGTAGTGACTGGTGGTGCACAGGCGACATGTAGCCTTAATGACCCTCGTGTAGTGACTGGTGGTGTACAGGCGACATGTAGCCTTAATGACCCTCGTGTAGTGACTGGTGGTGTACAGGTGACATGTAGCCTTAATGACCCTCGTGTAGTGACTGGTGGTGCACAGGCGACATGTAGCCTTAATGACCCTCGTGTAGTGAATGGTGGTGCACAGCGAAAATGTAGCCTTAATGACCCTCGTGTAGTGACTGGTGGTGTACAGGTGACATGTAGCCTTAATGAACCCCCCTCGTGTAGTGACTGGTGGTGTACGGGTGACATGTAGCCCTTAATGACCCTCGTGTAGTGGCTGGGTGGTGTACAGGCGACATGAAAGCCTTAATGACCCTCGTGTAGTGACTGGTGGTGTACAGGCGACATTTTAGCCTTAATGACCCTCGTGTAGTGACTGGTGGTGTACAGGGAAAAGTACCCTTTAATGACCCTCGTGTAGTGACTGGTGGTGTACAGGTGACATGTAGCCTTAATGACCCTCGTGTAGTGGCTGGTGGTGTACAGGCGACATGTAGCCTTAATGACCCTCGTGTAGTGACTGGTGGTGTACAGGCGACATGTACCTTAAGACCCTCGGTAGTGACTGGTGGTGTAACAGGTGACATTAGTCTTAATGACCCTCGTGTAGTTGACTGGGGGTGTACAGGTGACAATGTAGTCTAATGACCCTCGTGTAGTGACGGGGGTGTACAGGCGACATGTAGTCTTAAGGGACCCATCGTGTAGTGCTGGTGGTGTACAGGTGACATGTAGTCTTAATGACCCTCGTGTAGTGACTGGTGGTGCACAGGCGACATGTAGTCTTAATGACCCTCGTGTAGTGGCTGGTGGTGCACAGGCGACATGTAGCCTTAATGACCCTCGTGTAGTGACTGGTGGTGCACAGGCGACATGTAGCCTTAATGACCCTCGTGTAGTGACTGGGGGTGTACAGGCGACATGTAGTCTTAATGACCCTCGTGTAGTGGCTGGTGGTGCACAGGCGACATGTAGCCTTAATGACCCTCGTGTAGTGACTGGGGGTGTACAGGCGACATGTAGCCTTAATGACCCTCGTGTAGTGACTGGGGGTGTACAGGTGACATGAAACCCTTAATGACCCTCGTGTAGTGACTGGGGGTGTACAGGCGACATTAGTCTTAATGACCCCGTGTAGTGGCTGGTGGTGCACGGGCGACATGTACCTTAATGACCCTCGTGTAGTGACTGGGGTGTACAGGTGACATGTAGCGTAATGACCCTCGTGTAGTGAACTGGGGGTGTACAGGCGACATGTAGTCTTAATGACCCTCGTGTAGTGGCGGGTGGTGCACAGGCGACATGTACCCTTTAATGACCCTCGGGGTAGTGACTTGGGGTGTACAGGCGACATGTAGCCTTAATGACCCTCGTGTAGGACGGGGGGTGTACAGGTGACATGTAGCCTTAATGACCCTCGTGTAGTGACTGGGGGTGTACGGGCGACATGTAGTCTTAATGACCTCGGTAGTGGCTGGTGGTGCACAGGCACATGTAGCCTTAAGGGACCCTCGTGTAGTGACTGGGGGTGTACAGGTGACATGTAGCCTTAATGACCCTCGTGTAGTGACTGATGTACAGGTGACATATAGTCTTAATGACCCTCGTGTAGTGACTGGTGATGTACAGGTGACATGTAGTCCTAATGACCCTCGTGTACTGACTGGTTGTGTACAGGTGACATGCAGCCTTAATGGCCCTCGTGTAGTGACTGGTGGTGTACAGGTGACATGTAGTCTTAATGACCCTTGTGTAGTGACTGGGGGTGTACAGGTGACATGTAGTCTTAATGACCCTCGTGTAGTGACTGGTGGTGTACAGGTGACATGTAGTCTTAATGACCCTCGTGTAGTGACTGGGGGTGTACAGGCGACATGTAGCCTTAATGACCCTCGTGTAGTGACTGGGGGTGTACAGGTGACATTAGCCTTAATGACCCTCGTGTAGTGACTGGGGTGTACAGGTGACAAGTTATCTTAATGACCCCGTGTAGGGGCTGGGGGTTTGCACAGGCGACATGTAGCCTTAATGACCCTCGTGTAGTGGCTGGTGGTGTACAGGCGACATGTAGCCTTAATGACCCTCGTGTAGTGGCTGGTGGTGTACAGGCGACATGTAGTCTTAATGACCCTCGTGTAGTGGCTGGTGGTGTACAGGTGACATGTAGTCTTAATGACCCTCGTGTAGTGGCTGGTGGTGTACAGGCGACATGTAGCCTTAATGACCCTCGTGTAGTGACTGGGGGTGTACAGGTGACATGTAGCCTTAATGACCTTCGTGTAGTGACTGGTGATGTACAGGTGACATGTAGTCTTAATGACCCTCGTGTAGTGACTGGGGGTGTATAGGTGACATGCATGTCTTAATGACCCTCGTGTAGTGACTGGTGGTGTACAGGTGACCTGCAGCCTTAGTGACCCTCGTGTAGTGACTGGTGGTGTACAGGTGACCTGCAGCCTTAGTGGCCCTCGTGTAGTGACTGGTGGTGTACAGGTGACATGTAGTCTTAATGACCCTGGTGTAGTGACTGGGGGTGTACAGGTGACATGTAGTCTTAATGACCCTCGTGTAGTGACTGGTGGTGTACAGGTAACATGTAGTCTTAATGACCCTCGGGGTAGTGACTGTGGTGTACAGGTGACATGAAGTCTTAAATGACCCTCGTGTAGGGGACTGGTGGGTACAGGTGACATGTATCTTAATGACCCTCGTGTAGTGACTTGTTGTGTACAGGTGACATGTAGTCTTAATGACCCTCGTGTAGTGACTGGTGATGTACAGGTGACATGTAGTCTTAATGACCCTCGTGTAGTGACTGCGGTGTACAGGTGACATGCAGTTTTAAATGACTCTCGTGTAGTGACTGGTGGTGTACAGGTGACATGCATGTCTTAATGACCCTCGTGTAGGACTGGGGGTATACGGGTGACATGCAGTCTTAATGACCCTCGTGTAGTGACGTGGTGTACAGGTGACATGCAGTCTTAATGACCCTCGTGTAGTAGACTGGTGGTGTACAGGTGACATGCAGCCTTAATGACCCTCTTTGTAGTGACGGGTGATGTACAGGTGACATTTACCTTAATGACCCTTGTGTAGTGACTGGTGGTGCACAGGTTACATATAGTCTTTAAAAACCCTCGTGTAGTGACTGGTGGTGTACAGGTGACATGTAGTCTTTATTGACCCTCGTGTAGTGACGGGTGGTGTACAGGTGACATGCAGCCTTAATGACCCTTGTGTAGTGACGGGTGGTGTACAGGTGACATGCAGTCTAATGACCCCGTGTAGTGACTGGTGATGTACAGGTGACATGCAGTCTTAATGACCCTCGTGTAGTGACTGGTGGTGTACAGGTGACATGCAGTCTTAATGACCCTGTGTAGTGACTGGTGGTGTACAGGTAAACATGCAGCCCTTAATGACCTTCGTGTATTTGACTGGTGTGTACAGGTGACATGCAGCCTTCAGGGACCCTCGTGTAGTGACTTGGGGGTGTACAGGTGAATGTAGCCTTAATGACCCTTGTGTAGTGACTGGTGGGCACAGGTACATATAGTCTTAATACCCTCGTGTAGTGACTGGTGGTGTACAGGTGACATGCAGTTTTAATGACCCTCGTGTAGTGACTGGTGGGTACAGGCGACATGCATCTTAATGACCCTCGTGTAGTGACTGTGGTGTACAGGTGACATGCAGCCCTTAAAATGACCCTCGTGTAGTGACTGGTGGTGTACGGTGACATGCAGTTTTAAATGACCCTCGTGTAGTGACGGTGGTGTACAGGTGACATGCAGTCTTAATGACCCTCGTGTAGTGACTGGTGGTGTACAGGTGACATGCAGTCTTAATGACCCTCGTGTAGTGACTGGTGGTGTACAGGTGACATGCAGTCTTAATGACCCTCGTGTAGTGACTGGTGGTGTACAGGCGACATGCAGTCTTAATGACCCTCGTGTAGTGACTGGTGGTGTACAGGCGACATGCAGTCTTAATGACCCTCGTGTAGTGACTGGTGGTGTACAGGTGACATGCAGTCTTAATGACCCTCGTGTAGTGACTGGTGGTGTACAGGTGACATGCAGTCTTAATGACCCTCGTGTAGTGACTGGTGGTGTACAGGTGACATGCAGTCTTAATGACTCTCGTGTAGTGACTGGTGGTGTACAGGTGACATGCATGTCTTAATGACCCTCGTGTAGTTACTGGTGGTGTACAGGTGACATGCAGTCTTAATGACCCTCGTGTAGTGACTGGTGGTGTACAGGCGACATATAGCCTTAATGACCCTCGTGTAGTGACTGGTGGTGTACAGGTAACATGCAGTCTTAATGACCCTCGTGTACTCGACAGGCTTTAACCCCCCATTATCCATACATAAATTAGGTTTTAATCGAATATAATTGTAACAAAACGAAGCGAGATTACATTACATTTCACGATACAAAGAGAGGAAATTACCACAATTCAGGAAGCTACTTTAATTACTTTTGGTAACAATTACAATTGTTCCATCCCATTTAGAACCGCTGTTCGAGCCGAGAAAAATAACTATTAAAACACGAGACAAAGTGATATGTTTAAACACCTGCTGATTTAATAATAATAATAACAATAATAATAGAGAAAGAGAGAGAAAGAGAGAGAAAGAGAGAGAAAGAGAGAGAGAGAGAGAGAGAGAGAGAAGAGAGAGAGAGAGAGAGAGAGAGAGAGAGAGAGAGAGAGAGAGAGAGAGAGAGAGAACCCATTGTCAACTACAATACTTTAAATAAGCAATTAATGACTCCTTGCACAACAATAAACACACAGAAAAAGAGATCCCAGGCGCCACAAACACCTCAGACACGAGACAAATACAACCTGAGGGTAATACATCAACAACTACATCAACAACATCAACAACTACATCAACAACATCAACAACTACATCAACAACTACACAACAACTACATCAACAACTACATCAACAACTACATCAACAAATACATCAACAACTACATCAACAACTACATCAACAACTACATCAACAACTACATCAACAACAAGAACAACTCAGAGGAGGAAACAAACGCATTCTCTTTACTCTCTCCCATTCCCTCTTTCTTTTTCCCATTCAATCTCCCCTCCCATGCCCTCTTTCTCACTAGCGTTTCCTCTGATTCTCTAAACCCTTCATCTTCCTCTCTACCCAAATTTTCCCCTTTGTCTCTAACCGTTCCTCTCTCTCTCTCTCTCTCTCTCTCTCTATACCGTTCCTCTTTCTCTCTACCATTCCTCTCTCTCTCTCTACCGTTCCTCTCTCCTTCCCACCGTTCCTCTCTCTCTCTCTACCGTTCCTCTCTCTCTCTATCCGTTCCTCTCTTTCTCTACCGTTCCTCTCTTTTTCTACCGTTTCTCTTCCTCTCTACCGTTCCTCCTACCGTTCCTCTCTAAACCCTTCCTCTCTACCGTTCCTCTCTACCGTTCCTCTCTACCGTTCCTCTCTACCGTTCCTCTCTACCGTTCCTCTCTACCGTTCCTCTCTACCGTTCCTCTCTACCGTTCCTCTCTACCGTTCCTCTCTACCGTTCCTCATATTCTCTCCACTTTGATATCGGTTTCTGGATACTAATACCAGTAAGGGGGAGCCTCTGGCGGTGGCGGATCTGTCAATCCTAAATTTCATTACAATTGGAAATCCTTACCACCCTGACCCTAGGAAATCCCTTTCTCACCCTTGGGAATCTTTCCCTCCCTGATTCTTTGGTATCCCTCCCTCCCTGACCCTCGGAAATCGAGATCTCACTCACTCTTGGGAATCCCTGTTTTCCTAAGTCTCTGGAATCCCTCACTCCCTGACCTTTAGCAATCCCTCTCTCCCTGGCCCTTGGTAATCCCTCCCTCATCCTTGGGTACCCATTCCTCCCTGATTTTTGGGGAGAATTCCTTTCTCCCTGACCCTTTTATATCCACCATATATCCTTGGGTATCCCTAACAATTGTATATCCCTCCCTAACTCTTGGGTATCCCTTCCTCTCTGACCCTTAAATGTTCTTCCTTCTTTAAATTAAGGACATTTTCAACGGTCTCCAACCGGTGTCCATTACACAAGGGCCTTTTGTCCCTATTTAGTAAATAAGTTATTGGACGGCCTTTTTTCCCATACTCCAAGTGTGTGGAACTGCCTATTTGTAAATGTCCAATAGTAATTATCTATAATTATTTCTAACAAACCAGGGCACGGATGGGGATCGAACTCACGGCTTAGATTGTAATCGTGTTATTAAAATTTCGTGAGGCATATTTAATTCTAGTTATCGGAATTTTCAAGTGAGTTCTAGCTCCTGGTCCTTGAAAATGTGTACGTTGATATCTCTGGGTCATCTGGAGTTCTTGTCTATCCTTTATATTCCTTTATATTCTTATTGTGGTAATATTCTCTTCCAGAGACAAGGAATACTTCCGAATATTCCTATATAACTCATTTCCCTCAACGCAAGTAGCATATTTTGTTGCGTTCTTTTGTATTACAAGGAGAGGGTTCAACACTGGCGCTGCTTACTCGAGAATGGTTGCATGAATGAGGTGTATATGTGTAATTACCTAATCGTGAGTTTTAAAACCGGATTTTATAGTTTCATATGGCTGATGTATTCAAAACACACACACACACACACACACACACACACACACACACACACACAATGTCTCACTGCCTCAGATACGGCTGGCGTCCTCTGGAGAAGTGATCTTCAACAAGACGTCGGAATCGGCGTCGTTCAGTGTACGTTCCCTGCACCAGGACCGACGGTACGTGGTGACGGTCACCGCTTACAACGCCCGTGGCAAGTCACGACCGCACCGTCTTCACCTCCAAACACTCAGGGAACTGGAGATGCACAGGAGTAAGTCTGTAATTGTTGGTTGTTCGAATGTGTGTGCGTGTGTGTGTGTGTGTGTGTGTGTGTGTGTGTGTGTGTGTGTGTGTGTGTGTGTGTGTGTGTGTGTGTGTGTGTGTGTGTGTGTGTGTCGAATGATATGCAGCGGCACACTTCACAGAGTTTAAATGAGAGAAATAAATATCTTAAGACTGGAACAGCTGGTAGAGGAGACAGATAGGGCGAGAAAATGAAGGGGTAGAGGATATATAGGATAGAGATGGGGATGCTCAATCAAGTTAACGAGAGGGCGCCGAGTAGGTAATGTGATAGCGAGAGAAAGGAAAGACCGAAAACCTTAGACAGAGAAGAAGGGGAGAAATAATGCAATATATATATATATATATATATATATATATATATATATATATATATATATATATATATATATATATATATATGGTTTGATATTCGGAACTTAGAGTTTTGAATATTTGTGTGTCTAACTTAATGTTCGCGTTTTGGGTTTGGGATATTTACAGTTTGGAGGGATATGTTGTGTATCTTTATATGTATATGCTTCTAGACTGTTGTATTCTGAGCACCTCTGCAAAAACAGTGATAATGTGTGAGTGAGGTGAAAGTGTTGAATGATGATGAAAGTATTTTCTTTTTGGGGATTTTCTTTCTTTTTTGGGACACCCTGCCTCGGTGGGAGACGGCCGACTTGTTGAGAAAAAAAATCACCACCATCGACAAAACTTTGTAATTTATCTGTGAGAAATGTTGATAAATGCTATTTTTAATTCACAAGAAAATATAAAAGGCTGGATAATTACATACTTAAGGGTGGAAATGTAATTGTGAATAAATATGGAATAAGGAAGACCTTTGAGAATCACAAATTCTGACTTGGCACACAAAATCAGTGTTAAAATACTTCCCCTCGTCTCTTCCCCCGCGACAACGAAAGTCGTACACCATTAAAAAAATGGAAGACGACTATATTCATATATATTTTTTCCAGCTGTAGCGGTAGCGTAACAATCTGTGTGGTGTTGAAAGCTCGGGGGTTAGTTGTAGGACATCGTATCCAGCACTGTTTCCAGGTCTGGAACAAGTTAGTCAGACACATCAGCGGGGAGCGGGCAGTCACAATGTCATGTAATATTTGAAGTTCAGTATCTCGTTACCCCTTTTATGATATTCCCTTGTTACCCGCTTATTATGTTTTATGACTCCCCCTTCCTAAAGGGGAAAGAGGGAAACACAGGGCTTGTGCTGACCAGTCTGTCATCGAGGGGGGTAGGGCTCTTGTTCTTGGGCTCTCTGAAGGGTATAGTCGACTAGAGGTGTGTATCGCTCGGTATATGTGTGTGTGTGTATATATATTATATATATATATATTATATATATATATATATATATATATATATATAAACACACACACACAGAAGTATCTTTCAGTATGTATCCACCGAGAGGTGTATCCCACATATACACACGCAAGATAAGGAAATGCGAAAATGTTGAATAGGAAAAGATTTGGACATCAGCAAAAACTCTAGGGATAAACGCTGTTAAATGAAGCTTCTTCTTGCATCTCGAATTTTACGAGACGAAATACTGAGAGACCTGGGTCCTGAGGAGACAAGGGAGAGATACTGCTGTATTTAACTAGACAGAACAGAGGCCAAAGAGGAAGAAATTAGGAAGTAGGTAAGAGGATCGGTTCCGGGAGATTTCCACTTCCTAGCAGAGACCCAGTGGGGAATTTAATTCACTCAACATTCCCCTTCTTACAATCTTCCTTATTCTTATGCATCAGCTTATCAGTACTGTATACCGTAAATAATAACCCACATACTCAGTAATAAGCCACATGGTGACAGGCACTCAGAAGATTGATTAATTTGTACATTTCAACCCCTTTCTGGGATCCAAGATGGCGAACAAAATATACAGATCCATCTTACAAGTTTCTGTATCCAGTTACGAGCATAATAATTTAATAATTGGTATTTAGAGGCCCACCAAATTAGGTGGAATAAACGATTTAAAGGAGAGTATGAGAGGAGTCTGTGAGGCATGCAACTAGTGGTCGTAGGTATGTTAAGAGACGAAACCAGCAGCTGTGACTCAACTCCCCTTTGCTGAAGTACGTGAGTACACAGCCATACAGGGGAAGAAATGTTAGAAGTGTGTTTCCAGGATAAAACGAGAGTGGAAGGGAAGGCTAAATGCATTATCCTCAGAAAATTGATTTGGTAAGAGGTTGCTGTTGCGAATCACTAGAGGAGTTGATTGAGTTGATTAGCGAGTGTCAGCGGTGATTTCCCGAACTCAGAGTCAGCTGCAATGTAAAACAAATATTGTAACACCTGTTTGAGAGATGGCATGGTGTACAGTGTGAATATTTCAAGTATGAATTGAAGATCTCATTCTCACAAAATACGATTTATAGCATTTTCTTGAGAAGACGTTTCGCCCATGACAGACTTTGTCAATTCCCTGTTGGACGATAAACACCCCGAGGGACGAAATGTAAACTGCATTCTACGTCTAATTAACGTATCTATCAGTGAAGCATCGCTAATTTCCGTGATTTTCGTGGCAGCTACAGATAAGAGCACTCGCCACAGCATCACATTATTTAAATCATGAAGATAGACACGAAAGCGACAGAAATAATTAGAAATAACGGAACGGGTGAGATTCGAACCCATGGCGAGCGGGTCTTAAAACTGACGAGTGTAACTATTCAGATGTTAATTTTATTCCACTGTGGAGTATATGGTTCCTAATCATTTTTAGTTAGTGGGTATGGTTTTTTAGGGAAAAGCTAAACCCGTAGGGATTATACAGCGAATGGGAAATTGTAAGTGATCTGGTATAAATAAATTCACAATACCGTGGCTGAAACAATACACAAATAACCCGCACTTAGAAGAGAAAAGCTTACCATGACGTTTCGGTCAGTTTTTTTCTGATTAGTTAATGGTCCAGGACGGATCGAAACGTCTTCGTAAGTTTCTATGTGTGGGTATATTTTTGTGTAGCCTTCTTACAACTTCTTAACATGACCAAACCATCTACACCATCCGTCTCCCTCTCCCTCTCTCCCTCTCCTCCTCCCTCTCTCCCCTCCCTCTCCTTCCCTCTCCTTCCCTCTCCTTCCCTCTCCTTCCCTCTCCTTCCCTCTCCTTCCCTCTCCTTCCCTCTCCTTCCTCTCTCCTTCTCTCTCCTTCTCTCTCCTTCTCTCTCCTTCCTCTCTTCTCTCTCCTTCCTCTCTTCCTTCTCTCTCCTTCTCTCTCCTTCCCTCTCCTTCCTCTCCTTCTCTCTCCTTCTCTCTCCTTCTCTCTCCTTCTTCCTCTCCTTCTCTCTCTCCTTCCTCTCCTCTCTCTCCTTCTCTCTCCTTCTCTCTCCTCTCTCTCTCTCTCTCTCCTCTCCTTCTCTCTCCTCCTCTCTTCCCTCTCTCTCTCTCTCTCCTTCTCTCTCTCGTCTCTCTTCTCCTCTTCTTCTCTCTCTCTCTCATTCTCTTCAGCTTTTCCTGTGGCACCTCCCACTTAACCCTGTTACCATTCTCTGTGTTCTTTAAGACAGTTGAAGATTCAACTGCTCACATTACCAGTTATTCCTTTAGCACGTATTTCGTGCGCTATTACACCATGATCGCACGTGCCGAAGGCTTTTGCAAAGTCTGCTGCTGTAGCACTGATCTTTCAACATGACAAAATTATCTAAATCATAATGAAAAGAATGGTACAATACCGTGGATGGAACAATACACAGATATCCCGTATATAGAGAGAAGTAGTGGCCCAACTTGGTCTACCGTTTCCACTACCAGCATTGCCTCTATCTCTACTTCTCCACTTCCTTCTTTCATTTCTTTGTCTCGTCCCTGTGTCCCCCCCTTTTCCTATGTATCCTGGGTCCTTTACCTTCGTGTGCTAGTGTGACTTGTAAATAGTCCAAGACTACGCCATATGTTTCTCTCTATATGCGGATGTTTGTATATGTAAACCATCTCTCTCTCTCTCTCTCTCTCTCTCTCTCTCTCTCTCTCTTCTCTCTCTCTCTCTCGCCCCACCACAGCTAGAAACCACAGGAGGATTCTGACTACCCTCACACACACACACACACATCTGAAATAAATTCGTGTGTAATCATACCTTACAGAGCCTCGATTATTCTGCCTGGAGGTGAGTTCTCCTTGTCGAATATTCATGGGTTTCCCGAGCGATATATTGGCTCTTGTGAAATACCAGAATCCTTTACCTTATTCTGTACTCTCTAAATTTTTTTTCTCTGTTTATATCTCGCCGTTTGTGTATAGTTATGTATATATTCTATAACAAAGTCAATCTATCTTTCAACACAAGATGGGTTACTGTCACCTTGTGGGTTATTACTGACCACGAGATGGGTTACTGTCACCTTGTGGGTTACTTACTAACCACAAGATGGGTTACTGTCACCTTGTGGGTTATTACTAACCACAAGATGGGTTACTGTCACCTTGTGGGTTATTATTAACCACAAGATGGGTTACTGTCACCTTGTGGGTTCTTACTGACCACAAGATGGGTTACTGTCACCTTGTGGGTTATTACTGACTACAAGTCTCGTACTTTCGACAAAACTGAAGACACGCGTTGTAAAACCAGCTTTTATAGAGACAACGTTTCGCCTATCGTAGAGCCCTGATTAAGTCACCATAGGTTAGACTAGACCACATTAGGTTAGGTTAGATTTAAATTAAAATTCGCTAGTTTATATTGAGTTAGGTTAGATTAAGTTAAATTTTGCTAGTTCATGTTGGGTTAGGTTAGAGTTAACCTAGTCTTCTTTCTGAGTGTTAAAAAAATAAAGAAAACATGAAAATCGCCCGTTTTTCTCTATGGATCAGACTGCCTTGCTAGTGTATGGATTTGTGCAAGTGTGTATACATGTCTTGAACATGTATAATTACAAGACATTTATATTCATAGGTGTGTACTCACCTAGTTGTACTCACCTGTGGTTGTAGGGGTCGAAACTCATCTCCTGGCCCCGTCACTTCACTGAACGCTACTAGGTGTGTGTGTGTGTGTGTGTGTGTGTGTGTGTGTGTGTGTGTGTGTGTGTGTGTGTGTGTGTGTGTGTGTGTGTGTGTGTGTGTATTATTTACATAACATAATACATGCTTACACAAGCTCGTACACAACGCGGATTTATGGTATGTGAATTTGCTCTTATGAGATGTCCTGTTTCTGTCGCTAATTCAGTTTATGCGATATACATTCCGCAGTTGTAATATACATTCCGCATTTATATGTACGAATTAATTGCTTATATCATAACTCCGAAACTGGTCCACAGCATTTACCAGGTGTCGATGCATCTGTGTACCTCTGTGTTCCAAGTGTTTTTCTCTAACACAGGTCTACCTTCAAGGCCTGAACCGCAGCCGCTAATGTGGGTGATGGGCGTGGTTGCGGGCGTGGTGGTGGCAGTCATGGGCGTGGTTGTAGGCATGTGGTGGGTTAGAGGGCGACGCAGCTCTCACACACTACGGAACAGAGAAGACGGACTTCTGAAACTCAACAAACCTGACATTACGGGTAACTGATATATCTGAACTTTGAAAGTCTATGGGCATAGCGCGATTACTTTCAACTAAGTATCTCGGGTTTACCTGAGATGAGAGGTTTCGGGGGTCAACGCCCCCGCGGCCCGGTCTGAGACCAGGCCTCATGGTGGAGCAGGGTCTGATCAACCAGGCTGTTACTACTGGCCGTACGAACCACAGCCCGGTTGGTCAGGTACTTTAGGTGTCTGTTCAGTGCCTTCTTGAAGACAGCCAGAGGTCTATTGGTAATCCCCCTTATGTAGGCTGGGAAGCAGTTGAACAGTCTTGAGACCCTGACACTTATTGTGTCTCTCAATGTGCTCGTTGCACCCCTGCTTTTCATCGGGGAAATGTTGCATCTCCTGCCGAGTCTTTTCTTTCATAGGGAGTGAATTTCGTGTGAAGTTTGGTACCAATTCCTCCAGGACCTTCCAAGTGTACGTTACGAATTTCATTTCGAAATTCATTTATTACTGATTTCATAACGATACGAAAATCGATTTAGACGAATGTTGTTGAGATTATGCATTATAAAACCATTTCCAATTTCACAATTTTTTACGAATTTCGAACACAGTCAGACATGAATTATTAAACAGTTCTTTAATATTAATAAGAATGACAATAATAATAGTATTATAATTATTATTATCATCATGGTTATGACGCACAACACTAGAATACTGAGAGGTGACCAGATTTGATCCAAGGAAGCCTCAGGCAATTTCCTAACACATCCAGGCCTCTCACGGCTTCAGTGTTATAATTGCCTAAGCAACTGCTCTGGTCTCTCTCGGATTATTTTTATATTGATCTGTGGAAGTGGGATGCTGTCGAGGGTGTGGCTTTATGTACAAGGTGGCCTTTCCTTCGTCCGGAAATAGCCGAGGACTTTGGAAAGTCCTCGGCTATTTCCGAGGCTTTTCTCTGAGAACTATTTACTGCTATCTAGACTGAGTTCTGTCGTCTATTACTGAGTTTTATGAGTCAAGGAGAGAATAATATACGACTCTTCGTATCACTGGCCGTGGTTAAGTATTGAATAGTAAACAGACAGGCTTGTACACTTTTAGTAAGCTTCGTAAGGCGTCGACAGGACTAAATTCAATGTGGTCGGCAGAGAATAACTCTGCTGAGGCACACACCAGCACCAACAAACACAGATTGAATATGGGGAAAGGTGACAAGAGAGAATGTCTTATCTTCCCGTAGTGTGAATTTTAAATCTGGCTAGAATTTCCGTGGTTACACAAGAGGAAATCCAGTGTCTTGAGTTTTCCTTAGTCTAACTATCATTCTCTTATTCCGGAGGAGTATCCATGCCTGAAGAAGGTCAGAACTTTGACCTTCCAGTAGTTTGAATATTGCTCCAGGCATCTCGCTAAAGTGCCCAGGGTGGGTTCACACCTCAGGATGTCCTAAACCTCTTGTGGAAACCCTCCAGTTAATAAGATGGCAGATTGGAAATTCCACTGGCATTCTCAGGAAGATGGTGTGTTTGGGAGAGCATCCTCAGGATCCCCCTCGCTGCCTTGCCATCCTTCCCTCCAATCTTTTGCTTATTTCTACGACTCCAGAAGCGGTAGGTTTCTTCCTCATTTGCATACATCTAGGAGTTACAAGTCTTATCTCGTTTCCACCAATTTAGAGTTTTATATTCGGATTTAATTTTATATTATATATATATATATATATATATATATATATATATATATATATATATATATATATATATGTCGTGCCGAATAGGCAGAACTTGCGATCTTGGCTTAAATAGCAACGCTCATCTTGCCATATAGGACAAGCGAAAATTTGTGTATGCAATAATTTTCCCAAAATCATTCTGAACCTAACGAAAAAAATATATTTCACTGTGTTTGTTTAGTATTAAATTATTGTAAACAAATCTAAAATATATTTAGTTGGGTTAGGCTAAAATAAATTGTTCTTGTTATAATAAGGTTAGGTAAGTTTTCTAAGATTCTTTTGATGCAAAATTATAATTTTTTACATTAACATTAATGAAAAAAATATATCTTTAAACGTATAAGAGAAAATTTTAGAAAGGACTTAATTTTAAATGAGTTATTTCTAATTGACCAGTTTTACATATTCGGCACGATATATAAATATATATATATTATAATATATATATATATATATTATATATATATATATATATATATATATATATATATAAATATAATACCGAACTGCGGCTAGCCAGGATTTTATCCTGCCATTCAATGGACCAACAATTACCCATCCAGTGGATGGGCATGGTGACACAGGATCGAATCCTGGCTAGCCTCACTTCTGTTAATGACTCAGAATAACTTTTTTCGTGATTTCACACACACATTGTAACTACAATTTCGATTGTCAGAAAACGCATCAAACCTGTTTAAAACGTTGAAATATGTTATGAAGATTCTCTTAACTTTCTTACATTTTTTAATATCCAGTGACTGTGGTCCTTTTTATTTTCTCTTGGGACCCATTCTAGTATTCTAGTGTACTTTGGGCATCTAGTTTATCTTTTCTAGCCTCTGTCCTTGGCCAGGTGTGGGTGCTGGAGACGGGATGGACGGTATGTGTGTGAATGGTGTGGTTCAACATACCATTTACGACTCTACCGGCAGGTACAGAGGTTTCGCCCACCTACAGCAGGTAAGATCCTTTAGATTTTTTTTTAATTTTCACATATCGTCATTCTAAACACTCTTACAGTTCCTTAGTTCTCATCTTCGCTAAAACCTTCGTTAAATATTTATTCACTGACTTTCTTTCTTCGTTAAGTCTTCGTTAAACTTTCTTCGTTGACTCTCACCCCACAATTAGTTCCCCAAGACAAAAATTGCATCGCAGTATTGCTAATATCCCGTCTATAACAAACAAAATATCTCCCAGAATATTAAAATACGACTCAATGGGTTAAATGACCTCTTTCTACTCTCATTGTAAATATTAGTATCTTATTGCGTAATATTACTAACAAACATAGTTGACTCAGAACCAAGTATTTATTTAGTGTTCGAATATTTTAATGATAAATTGTGCATATTGTGAATATTTAAGCTATGATTTGCAGTATTTTTTTCAGTTTCACTGGTAGGAATTAAGCTAAATATCCAAATACATATATATATGTCATGCCGAATAGGCAGAACTTGCGATCTTGGCTTGAATAGCAACGCTCATCTTGCCATATAGGACAAGTGTGTGTGTGTGTGTGTGTGTGTGTGTGTGTGTGTGTGTGTGTGTGTGTGTGTGTGTGTGTACCATTCAGCGCAAGGGATGCTGTAGACTCGAAACTCCGTCCCCTTAAGCTAACGTATTGATCTTTACAGAAGGACACGTATCAGAGCAGCTGCATGACGACCACTCCACCTGAGTCTTCTGCAGCAGCTGCTGCTAAATCCGATCCTGCAGGGGCCCAGTACAGGTTTTCCCTCACTAGGAAAGGCCGCCCTCCTGCTGCTGCTCCGGCAGTAGACACGCCTATGAAAGGGGGCAGAGAAACCATTAATGACAAGAGAAGAGGAACGAGAGGTAGTGAAGGAGGGGGAGGAGGAGGAGAAGAAGGAACAGAGGGAGAGAAGAATATAGAAACACCCTGGAGGAGGGTTATCAGTCAGCTAACTAGCCCACACGAGTCCAAGTTGTTTGAGGTGTGGAAAGTAGCATCGAGACAGACCCGTCAGGAAGTGGCAGAAAGTGTCTTATAAGTTATAATAGGCAGTAGAGAAGAGAAGAGTAGGAAGAGAGAGAGAGAGAGAGAGGAGAGAGAGAGGAGAGAGGAGAAGAGAGAGAGAGAGAGAGGAGAGAGAGTGTGTGTGTGTGTGGGTGTGTGTTGTGTGTGGGTGTTGTATGGATACAGAGAGAGAGAGAGAAATAAGAACCAGAACTGAGAGGTTCAGAAGATCACATAACCGTGACTTGGAGATCAGAATTACATTTATAAACATTCAAGAAAGAAATCTGCTGTAACTGTTATAGATTTGCAGTTCTGTGAACAAGTTCCTAACGCGTGTTAACATGACTTGTGGCAAGGAGTACCATCCTGCTACCTAGGAGGCTTCAGTAAGATCGTGGTATATACGTGTTTTCAAGGGCGAGCCCTTGTATAACTTTCTGTGTTCATGTTTTAATTAGACCTGAAAAAGGTCACACACAACGAACTTAAGAGTTTCCGGACGTTTGAGATATATTGACAAAATGTTTGATAACACGATACAGAAGCATTTAGAAATAAAAGCCGTTGGAGTTAAGAGCACTTAGAAGCAAAATAATTTAGACAAACAAGAGAACTTTGTCTCTAAAAGAAACGTCTAAGTGTCAAAACATATTTTTGTCTTTGTCAAACATTTAGAATATTGTTGGAACTATATATACTTAACATTTACGAATGTTTTAATTTGCATATCACAACGTCGTAAGTCGGTAAACCAACTGTGTTTCAGAATGCCAACCTGAAGCTTCCTAATCTTGTATCAAGGCTGAATTATCATCTATCTCTTCTCCTGAAGTTTGTGCTTCAACTCTATTATGCTGTAATCATTCACAATAATCGCATGACAATAAGATATATATGCAACACGAAGTCTATTGCCGATACCTATCGCCTGCGCAGCAGGCTTTACCTATCGAATACGGAGGTAAAACTAGCACAAGAGACATTAAAAGTGGAGAGGTAATACTGAATTAATTCTCCCAGTTTTCATGAAAGATGATCAATCTTTTAGCGTAAACCGGAAACATGAAGCCAAAGGCTAATACATTTTACACCTAGTGTTGCAACTGTGTCTTATTAATCAAAATATTGGTACTGTTTACCAGTTATGATACAACATCGTATGATTGTTCAGTGGCTGAGGAAGTATTGATCAATGCTCTCTATGTAAATGTATGTGCCAAAGAATCCACAATAAATCGACAGTGGGCACAGACCTGTGTCCACCCACGCAGATTCCCTTTGTTTATGTATCCTTCTGTCTAAAACTAGACGCAGTAAATCCCTGTGTCAAAAATTAGACGCAGTAAATTCTTCTGTGTCAAAAACTAGACGTAGTAAATCCTTTTGTGTCAAAAACTAGACGCAGTAAATCCTTTTGTGTCAAAAATTAGACGCAGTAAATCCTTTCGTGTCAAAAACTAGACGCAGTAAATCCTTTTGTGTCAAAAACTAGACGCAGTAAATCCTTTTGTGTCAAAAACTAGACACAGTAAATCCTTTTGTGTCAAAAACTAGACGCAGTAAATCCTTTTGTGTCAAAAACTAGACAGTAAATCCTTTTGTGTAAAAAAACCAAAAATTTGGAAAACGCAGTAAATTTTTTGTGTCAAAACCAAACTAAACGCAGTAAATCCTTTTGTGTCAAAAATTAGACGCAGTAAATCCTTCTAAACTTACAACAATAATTTTTAAACGTTAGTTGACGATTTTTGTGTAAGGATTATTATTGTTCTTTTTCTCATAATGATAATAATAATAATAATTTACATTATTTATTACAGTATTATTATTAATATAATTATTATTATGGTGACGAGCGTGAGAGGTAATCGGGTTTGATCCAAGGAAAGAGAAGGTTATCTCATATTCCTCTGATCAAGATCCCTTCACAATATGAGAATCTTTCAGTATTTTACAACCTCAACTTTTTCTTGTATTTTAATACACGTATTTCAATGCACGTATTTAATACACGTATTTTAATACACGTATTTAATACACATATTTAATGCACGTATTTAATACACGTATTTTAATACACGTATTTTAATACACGTATTTAATACACGTATTTTAATCCACGTATTTTAATCCACGTATTTTAATACACGTATTTAATACACGTATTTAATACACGTATTTCAATCCACGTATTTTAATCCACGTATTTTAATACATGTATTTAATACACGTATTTCAATCCACGTATTTTAATACACGTATTTAATACACGTACTTTAATCCACGTATTTTAATACACGTATTTTAATACACGTATTTTAATACACGTGTTTTGTTTGAGCGTATGTGTATTGTTTTGTGTGTTTGCTTGTGTTTGTTTGTCAATGTTTGAGATCGTTCGTGCGGTGGCTATAACAGCGTTTGTTTATGCAGATGTGTGTTTGTTTGCCCGTGCCCAGACAAAAGTACAGTATTCTGTATTTGTTTAAACAAGCGATGTGAGGGCCGTTATGAGTTCTGAAAAAATGAGTTTATCGTTGTTACTAAACTTTTCTGACGGTTGCAATTGCAATATTGCCATTATTGCAAAGCTTTATGTATGATTCCCATTAGAATGTGCCATGCAGGAATGATTCTTTATGGGCTCCGTGAGAATGATTCTTTATGGGCTCCGTGAGAATGATTCTTTTACAATGTGCTATGTGAGAATGATTATTAAGAATGATTCTGTACAATGTGCTATGTAAGAATGATTATTAAGAATGATTCTGTACAATGTGCTATGTAAGAATGATTATTAAGAATGATTCTGTACAATGTGCTATGTAAGAATGATTATTAAGAATGATTCTGTACAATGTGCTATGTAAGAATGATTATTAAGAATGATTCTTTTACAATGTGCTATGTAAGAATGATTAAGAATGATTCTGTACAATGTGCTATGTAAGAATGATTATTAAGAATGATTCTGTACAATGTGCTATGTAAGAATGATTATTAAGAATGATTCGTTATTATGCTCTTTATTAAAATGATTCTTCGCTAAAAATCCTTATTAAGAATGATTCTTCACTAGAAAAGATTATATTTTTTAGCAAAAAGATTCTCGCTAGATCCTACTATGTAAGAATGATTCTCACTAGATCCAACTATGTAGCAATAATTATCACTAGATCCTACTATGTAGGAATGATTCTCACTAGATCCTACTATGTAAGAATGATTTTCACTAGATCCTACTATGTAAGAACGATTCTCACTAGATCCTGCTAGGTAAGATTCTCATTAGACGTGCTATGTAAGAAAGATTCTCACTAGATCCTGCTAGGTAAGATTCTCATTAGACGTGCTATGTAAGATTCTCATTAGACGTGCTACGTAAGATTCTCATTAGACCTGCTATGTAAGATTCTCATTAGACGTGCTATGTAAGATTCTCATTAGACCTGCTATGTAAGATTCTTATTAGACCTGCTATGTAAGATTCTCATTAGACCTGCTATGTAAGATTCTCATTAGACGTGCTATGTAAGATTTCTCATTAGACTGCTATGTAAGATTCTCATTAGACGTGCTATGTAAGATTCTCATTAGACCTGCTATGTAAGATTCTCATTAGACCTGCTATGTAAGATTCTCATTAGACCTGCTATGTAAGATTCTCATTAGACCTGCTATGTAAGATTCTCATTAGACCTGCTATGTAAGATTCTCATTAGACGTGCTATGTAAGATTCTCATTAGACGTGCTATGTAAGATTCTCATTAGACGTGCTATGTAAGATTCTCATTAGACCTGCTATGTAAGATTCTCATTAAACGTGCTATGTAAGATTCTCATTAGGCGTGCTATGTAAGATTCTCATTAGATCTGCTATATAAGATTCTCATTAGACCTGCTATATAAGAACGATTCTAATTTGATCTTGTATTTAAGAATGATTACCAATACAGCGCACTACGTAATTTTTTTTAACTCGGTGGTCGTCTCCCACCAAGGTAGGGTGACCCGAGAAAGAAGAAATATTTTCGCCATCTTTCACCCTATCACTGTCTTTCCAAAGGCGCATCGATAGTACAGTTCAGAGTGCAGGCACTGTACTTCCCACCTCCAGGACTCAAGTCCTGCTTGCTGGTTTCCCTGAATCCCTTCATGTTATCTTGCTTACACTCCAACAGCACGTCTACTCCTAACACGTTCACGCACGCCTGCTTGATGTCCAATCCCCTCGTATGCAAAACCTCCCTTACCCCCGTCTCTCCAACCTTTCCTAGGGCATCTCCTACCATGTCATCTCTTCACCACAAATTTATACACCCTCCTTGTCATCCTATTTTGCCCCATCCTCTCTAAATGTCCAAACCACCTCAACAACCCCTCCTCAGCCCTCTGAATAATAATTTTAGTAACCCCCACATCTCTTCCTAATCTCCAACCTACGAATTCTCTGCATAATATTTACTCCATACATTTCCCACATTCACATCTTCACTGCCTCCAGCCTCTTTCTCGCTGCAACATTTACAACCCATGCTTCACACCCATGTGTGTTGATGCCACTATACTCTCATACATTAACCTCTTTGCCTCCATGAATAACGTTCTTTGTCTCCACGTATGTCTCAGTTCACCACTCACCTTTATCCCCTCATCAGTTCTATGGTTCACCTCGACTTTCATAAACACAACTGCTCACAAGTCCACTACCACATATCTGAACACATTCACTTCCTGCAATATACGCAATCGCATTATCTAAGTTTTCTTGTTACCCTCGTCACGCTGCTCTTGCTTTCGTTCACTTCTAATTATTTTCTTCTATATTACCCTCCCAAAGTCGTCCACCAACCTCTGTAACTCCTCTTCAGAATCTCCTAAAAAACAATGTGTCATCAGGGTAATGCATTTGTAACAAACCCACTTTGTATAAGAGTTTGCATATTTTCACTGCATACTTCTTCCCAACACCCTAACGACGGGAGCAGCGACACAGAGAGTATCACAAGCTACGACGACAATCACAGCTGTACAGGAA